ATACTGAAAATTTCATCGAGATCGGTCAACGCAATTAAAAGTTATAAGTAATTAAAGGAGATGGTTTAGCTCCATACCTTAGTCGACCCCCATTGTCCTGGCAAATTTTTACCCCATGGAATCCATAGAATAGGACGCCTAGATGATCTGTACCAAGTTCTATCCAAATCGATTAATGGGAACATGGTCAAAATGGCGCCCAAAGTTGACCATTTTAACACTGGGCTTTATGGGAAGTGGTAGAAATCGTGCTTTTGGCATCCTAGTTTCCGGATATGTTAAACTAGACGATAATACCTTTCAAATGAGCCCATGAGCATCAAAATCGTCAAACGGGAACTTGGTCAGAAATCGACTTTGAAGATTTCCTTCATTTTTTCACAACGGGTTTTGACCAAGTTCCCGTTTGACGATTTTGATGCCCATGGGCTCATTTCAAAGGTATTATCGTCTAGTTTAACATATCCGGAAACTAGGATGCTGAAAGCACGATTTCGACCACTTCCCATAAAGCCCAGTGTTAAAATGGTCAACTTTGGGCGCCATTTTGACCATGTTCCCATTAATCGATTTGGATAAAACTTGGTACAGATCATCTTGGCGGCCTATTCTATGAAGGGATCGTCAAAGGTATAGAGATGGCCACCTGCTTTCCGATAATCGCGACTTTTCATCTAAGAACGTGCCGTTCGTAATCTAAACAATTACCCTTTTATATCCAACGTGTCTTCGCATCTTCGAGGATAAAAGAGGTTAGGTTAGGTTACGATACCGCAGTCGGCACTCGAGGGAGCCGGTTGCGCCTTCTCTATTTCCCTCGACGGAAATTACTGTCCAGCCAGTTGGCATTAGGGGACAGGAGCTGAAAAACACTGTTCCTGGTTGGGTAGGATGAGCCGTATAATGGGGGGTCACGCGTGTCTCCGTTTGTCATCGAGGTCGCCATTGCAGGGCGAGATCCGAGTGCTCGACACACGACACCGTTTGCCCTTTTCGCGATGGCGAGCAGGTAGCCGATGCGGCTGGCAGATAGCTGGCTTCGCCTATGGGACGGTATACGATTTCCGTAAAGCAACACCGAGACGAAATTAAGCGACTGTCCAGACACCCGTGGTAGAAGGCTTTGGGGGGGGGGGGGTCAACTCGATGACACCTGCGAGATTCCCTTTCCTCAGTCTCTTTATCCATTACAATTTCTCGTTTCACCGACTCCCCGCCGACGAAAGGGCTTCCCCGGGGGACCCGATCTTCCGCCGGAGATCCAATTGTCCACCGTGGATTTCTCCTCCTCTCTTCCGTCTCGTGTCTGATCGCTTTAAAGCCTCCCGTGGATTAAGATTGTACGGGGTGTCTGGTCACTGTTAATAATACCGACTGGTCGCCTTTTCAAACGGCTATCCAACCGGTCAACTATGCCGCGTCTCTTCTCGGTTGGTTAGGTTAGAATTTTTGGTAAGGGCATAACGAATCGAGGCTGCCGAGGAAGTTTGGTTAGGTTTAGGATAGATTTCCGAAATAAATTACATTGAATTTACCGACCGAGCACACCAGCCTCGATTCCAGTCAGCAAACACTCCTCTCACCCTATCTCTCCCTCGATTCCGTGGATGTCAGCAAAGATTCCCGGCCGTGTTCGAAAGTCAATCAACGTTTACCCGAGCGAAAAAAAAACAGCGTGTCAACTAGTCGAACAACCGATGCCAGCAATCGACGGAGATAGTCTTTTTTAAATTTTATTCCAGTAGAATTATTTCTATTTTAGAGATATTCAAGATAAGGAAACAATGAATATGCGACGAATCGGTTTGCCTTTTCGAGGTTAGGTTTAAGTGGTCGCGCGATCTCAGTCGATAAAAAAGGACGGTGCTCGCTTATTCATCGACGCACGGGCCCGGAGCGTCGAGACGCGTGCAACCACTGACTCACAGAACAAAATCAGACCCCCTGCTGTTCAATATGCATGAGTTATCATTCGTACCACGAATGAATCATATTCGCGTTGCATTCTCTCCCTTCCCTCTCGAATCAACCCCTTTCTCCTCGACGACTTTCGTTTTCGACTTCTTCTTCCGTGGCGAGGGTGAACGTCTGCGAATAGGGTGGATCGAAATAGAGTCCAACTTCTTCCCTCCTCGATACGAACACCCTTCGTCATTCGAATCGATCGTTTGCTGAAGTACACCAGGTTTTTTTGCCTGGATTGCTTTATTTCTTTCATAGAATCAGCATTCTGAGGGCTGAATATTGAAGTTAGAAGATTTTAGAAATTTAGGGGTTGATTTGGAACTTGGTTAATGCTGCTGGTAGAATTTTACAGATTCGGTTACTTAAGGGGATGAAATCTTGAGTATTAAGAAAATTGAAGATTTAAAGGGTGGTTTGATCTCTGGCACCCATTGTACTATTGAATAAGAGGAAAATTCAACGAACACACAATGTCGGTGTGTCAGTGGAATCTCTATCTTCGACTTTAATGTAACCACCCTCGTATCATTTTCAAAGGCCACCCAAAGAACCTCTTGGAAGTTGCAAAGAAAGAAGGTCTCAATAAGGAGCCACAAAGGCAGAAAGCTAGACGTCAAAGCAGCCAACATTAATAGCAACAAAAGATAGCCAGTAAATACCTAATGTTTTTACAGTTTCTTATTTTTCTTCTCTGAACTAGACTTTCCTTTTTTTTTTTTTCCTTCTCTCTTTCCTTTACTCTACACCCTCTCGTCTTTTAACTGTGCTCGTTATCGAGCCTTCTTATCTCTCTTCTTTCATTCTCTCGCCATCGTCTTCACACTTATCACAGTTTTCTTCCCTTTCACCCCTGATGCCACCCCATTTACATCACTATTCACGTTCGTTGCCCTTCTTTCTTATCGTTCCCTCCCTTTCTGTCTCCTTTAATAACCCACCCCTTTTGCCATCCTCCTCGGACAAACTCACACCATTCCATCATCCTTCACGATTCCTTTTCTTCGACCACCACCGTCATCCCCTCAACCAGGGATTCAGCAACGAAAAGCAACCCTTTGTCGATCCAAAGCGCACACATAGGCACGGTGTGTAAAGGTAACAAGCGACTTCCAGGCCGATGGAAAAATATTTGCTCGTGGATGGTGGAAAATCACCCTTGGGGATTTTAAATACCCTCTCCGTAGGGGTCGCTTCGACCTCCAGATGGGAGAAACGATTTCAAGGGATTCGTTAAAGTATTCTCTCTTTTTTTTTTCCTTATTTATAATTGCAAGCGTGGAGAGGAATGACAGGAAACACAAGAATCATCCCTAACCTCTGATTTATTCCCCTGGAGTGACAAAAAGGGTCAAAACAGAACGAGGACGCGTTGGTTCGAAAGGAAAGTTGTCACGCATCAGAGGCGGAAACAAAGCCGCAATTTCGCGGTAGTTGCAAAGCGACAAGTTGCCCGACAGAAAAATTCCCCTACGGTCGTAGGGGTCGACGGTGCACCAGAAGCGGGATCCGCGGCCCGATAAAGCATCCCGCCCCGAGCGTTCTCGGAATAATTGGATCGGTTTTTGCAGCTGTGAATCACGAGCCTCGACAATCGGACGAACAAGAGACTTTTTTCTTCCCCCCCAAGGCTTTTCCGGACCAGATATTGTGGCCCGTTACGTTCCAAACCCCCCCCCCCCCCCCCCCCCCCGTCGTATCTTCGAGTGGCGCCACTTTTTCTTCCCCGCAGCACATCACCTGACCCATCTGTTTTCTTTTTCGATTATTTAATGGGTGCAATTGAAATGGAACTAATATTAGGCGAATGGTAGACGTTTCGACCACTCAAGTTTTTCTTCTGTTATCGACAGTCGGTAACGTAGGACGGCTGGCCCAGCCGTGGGGAAAGAGTAACGCGAATTGGATGTTAAGAAATTTCTTACTACGGTTAGAATAATCTGTCATGATAAACCAAGGAGTCGTTCTTCTTCATTATTTTGTACCATCTGAAAAATAATTATTCTCCTACGACGAAGAGAGATAATTCTCTTTGTTGCAAAGTGTGCCCTTAATGTCGCGCGATTCCGAGTTAATGCCCATCCCGTTACAAAGTAATGGGGCTAAAAAGTCGCGAGGAAAATGAAATCGAAGCGTGCCGGGAGATAAGCGGTGCCGGGACGACGGGGTCGTTGTCCTTTTATTTCTTCCGTAATTCCTGGCAAACTCTTCCCTTCGTAGCGTCGCTACGTCGAGTTAACGATGAATTTGCCAGTCGTTAAAATTGATATTCCTGTCGGCTGCATAGGATTTTCTTTCGAACGAAAATAAAACGAAACGTTAGCCGTTCAAGATTTAAATGGCTGCATCCAACGAGACAGACGCTTCTGCTTTCAATCATTCGTGTCACGAAATAGCGATAGAAAAGTTTTCATTTTTTCTTCTTATTTTTTTCTTTTTCAAGTACCCTCTATACTTATGGAACAACTCGATTGGAGAAATGGTATTCTGAAAAAGTCATTTGAAAATTACAGAAGAGATTGAAATTAATATTTAACCACAGCATCGATATCACTCGTGTTAATTAACGAATAATTTTCCTTCGTAATGAACAGATGGAATTATAAATTGGAAATTCTTCGATATTCGTTTTGCTTAATCGAAGTAACCAGCATGATTGCCGTTTTAAAATCACATTTCTCACTGCAGTTACACGAAACATAAAATTCTTTATTAATATTCAACGATTTAGCAATTCATTTGGAATTATATCATTTTAAAATTGGAAAATTAATAAATTCCAAGATTCTGAGGTACTTGATATTATTAATAAAGCTAAGAGACCTGTGCAAATACTAGCCAGTTAAGTTTAGGTTAGGACTTAAGTTACCAATTTAACCGATTCTGAAATACTTAATATTATTAATGAAACTAAGGGACCTGGTGTCCCCTAGAAAAAGCATCCTAGACACACCAATGTAAATACTTACCAGTTAACTCTAGGTTAGGCCCTATGCTCCTAACCTACCCTAACTAATCTAACTTTTGGCTCCTTCCAGATACGGAGGCTCTGAGGATGCTGGAGCTGGTGGTACCCCAGTATGTGGTCCGTGGCCAGAGCATAAGGCTGGAGTGTAACTTCAACCTCGACGGGGAGACATTGTACTCGGTGAAATGGTACAAAGACGGGAACGAATTCTATCGATACGTTCCCCAGGACAGGCCACCGGTGCTCGTCTTTCAGCTGCCAGGTGTCACGGCGAACGTAAGAATCACATCGTATTGATTTTCCTTGTCTCGTGCCAATGCACCACTCTCCGCGTGCAATCTATTTAAAGCATGACGCTTTTCATTTTTACATCGCTCTTATCCATGCTTCGTTTTTGGTATAAGTTCGCCATCTTCTTCCACTACCCTTACCAAGTGTCGATCCTAAGGTCCCAAATCTCTGGGGGGGATGGTTCGATGATGTTTCGTATTTCCAGATCCATAATTCGACCGAGAGGTCCGTGGTCCTCTATTCCGTGAACCTGATGAGCACCGGAAGGTACAGATGCGAGGTGTCAGCGGAGGCGCCGTCGTTCCAAACGGTATCCGATCACTCGGACATGATGGTAGTGGGTAAGACGCGTTTATAGATCGTCCTACCGTTTCTTCCTCGTGGCACAGGAAACGTTTTTTACCTTGGAACACTCGCCCCAGTTGGTTTTTCCTGGGTTCGCTGGCTGCCACACCGGGACCCGTCCCAGGGACAAATGAATTAATTTTAGACCACGGGGTAGGATGAAAATAGCAAGGGATGGACTTTTTTCTGCCTCGGGTAGAATAATGTTTACATAACGTCTGGATTAAGTAGAAGAACGTCCACTTGGAATTCCTCGTTTTACTTAGAAAATTACTTGATGTCAAAAATTTTCAAGCACCTTCTACGATATTTCTTTGCTAATCAAGCGGACGCGATCCGACCAGGGTAAAAAGTTTTCCCAGATTCCCCTCATCCTGTAACCCTTCTAATCTCTCTTGGAAACTTAAGCATCCTTGAGAAAAAAAGAAAAAAATTCATTACAGCCCTGCCGGAAGACGGACCCGTTATCACCGGTAGACCAGGAAGGCATCGTTATCAGGTCCGCGACGTGGTGCGGTTCAATTGCACCTCGGCCAAGTCGAAACCAGCTGCCATGCTCAGCTGGTTCATCAACGGAGAGCCTGTAAGTGACTTGCATGGAATCCCTGTAGCTTATGGTGACAGTGAAACTTGTCACACCAATGGAACAGCAAACTCTATCCCTAACTGTTTTAATGCGCCCTCCTTATGACAGTACGTGTCCAAGGTTGGATTATCATGAGGTATTTTCAAAGACTGGTATGAGATATACAGGGTGTCTTATAACTCCTGTAACAGCCGGAAAATGAGGGGGGGATTGGTGAGGTGATTCTGAACAACTTTACCAAAATGTTGGTTGAAGCTTCGTTTTTGAATTATTAACGAAAAACACTGGCCAATGAGAGCGTTGGCTTGTTTCATTTTAACCTAAACATTTCTTAAATTCTTTTTGAAAGAGACGATGTATCTTCCTTCCCTGTACCCTCCACGTCTTCCCCCGATGCTCTCGTGCCAGCCAAATTCTAAACTTCCTTAAAGGGAACAGTGGCAAAGGGTCATAACTTATGTCCAAGCCAGCATCCCTCCCTAGCCCAGTGTGGAATTGCAAATTCAGCCTTGTTCAGAGCAGCCTCCTTAGTGGTGTACGTGAGAACTAGCCGGGTTTTTGGTCGCTTCAGGTTGATACGCAATACTTGAGAGGGCCCCACATCACCGAGGTGGATCGCGAGGGTCTGGAGACTGCCGTGCTCGGTCTGGAGTTCCGTCTGCGTGCGAACCATTTCAAGAGGGGAGACCTGAAGATCAAATGCCTGGCGACGATAGCGACCGTCTATTGGAAATCGAACGAGCTCAGCATAGAGGGTGAAAAGCCCCTCAAGATGCCGGTAATGGAGAGCAGGGAGACAAGGGCGCAAGGGCACACGCACGCGGAACATATCTTAGGAGGTAAGGATGGATACCTGAGGTGCCAATTCGTACCCTCCTCTATATTTCCCGATGAAATCGCGGAAAGATTATCCTTTGAGGCAAAACGCGTCGAAAATGTGGAATGACGTTTTTTCGTGGGAACGTTCATTCTTAAGGAAAACCGCTTAAAAACGCGTGCACTTGGCGGATGTACCTCAGTGCTTCTCATCTTTACCCAGTTAGAAATATCAAATTAATAAATTCCCTACGTTATTATGTACATTCTTTGAGGTTTCCTCAGGGAAAATAGTGGAGTCCCGGATTCCTATCCTTCCTCTTAGGGAAACTGACAATGTAGCGAAGAGGACCCTATATTTTTTTATTTAATTTTCTATTTCATATTATTTTCATTTTCTAAATATTACACAGTTCCTTTAAAAATTACACTTATGATTAAATATTATAAAGTTTAATACAAAAGAAAAAAATTTTCGCGCATAAGGGGTGGTCCGCTGCCAACACACATATAAATTTTATAATGTTTAATAATTCAAAACCACGTTAAATTGAATAAGAATAATTCTTAAAGGAACAGTGTAATACTTAAAAAATAAAAGTAATAGAAAATAGAAAATTAAATAAAAATTAGGGATCTCTCTATAGTCCACCGTCCAAGGATTAATATTAATGTCGTCAAAATGAATATTTTAAGAATTCCTGCTTCCCTTATATCGCCATATTTCCTAGAGGAAGCCTCATTTCTTAATTTGTCATTGTCTCAAGTAATAGTAAATATAATGAGAACCTCTGAGACACTTCTGAGTGCCAGACAGCTCCTTCAGAGTCGCTTCTCTCTGAAAAGTTTATTCCATCGTTTCGATTTATCCTTCAACGAAGAATCATTTTTTAAAAAGATCCCCAACCGGTCTAGAACCATAACTTAGTCTTCCGTTTTTTATTTTTCCTCGAGTCTCTTCTTGCGTCGAGATCCGAGTACTTTGTTGCAAGATTAATCGTGCAAAAGGGCAGACAAGTAGGTGAAATCAGCGAGAAATTATAGCAAAATTTATATCGACACTCTACGCCGGTTAAGCGAATCCCCTTTGTATAGACTTCCACGCGTACAATTTTCCTTTTGCCCCTGCAGCCCTGCAACCGGCAATACATTCCCGGTTTTCCGTTGCCCGCCGTCGAGATCCGAGTACTTTGTTGCAAGATTAATCGTGCAAAAGACAAGTAGGTGAAATCAGCGAGAAATTATAGCAAACTTTATATCGACACTCTTTACGCCGATTAAGCGAACCCCCTTTGCGTAGACTTCCACGCGTACAGTTTTCGTTTTTGCCCCTGCAGCCCTGCAACCGGCAATACATAACTTTATATCGACACTCTACGCCGGTTAAGCGAATCCCCTTTGCATATACTTCCACGCGTACAATTTTCGTTTCGCCCCTGCAGCCCTGCAACCGGCAATACATTCCCGGTTTTCCGTTGCCCGCCATCGAGATCCGAGTACTTTGTTGCAAGATTAATCGTGCAAAAGACAAATAGGTAAAATCAGCGAGAAATTATAGCAAACTTTATATCGACACTCTTTACGCCGATTAAGCGAATCCCCTTTACGTAGACTTCCACGCGTACAATTTTCGTTTTGCCCCTGTAGCCCTGCAACCGACAATACATAACTTTATATCGACACTTTACGCCGGTTAAGAGAATCCCCTTTGCGTATACTTCCACGCGTACAATTTTCGTTTTACCCCTGCAGCCCTGCAACCGGCAATACATTCCCGGTATTCCGTTGCCCGCATAAGGCTGAGATTCGAGCTGAAATTGTCGATGGCACTTGTTGCAGGTGAAAAGTGTACCGAGAGTTATTCTCTGGTGACTAATAGTCACTTTCAGAATAGTGTGCTCATCTATAAGAAACGATATCGACAGCTTCTCGCGCGGGTTTCACTCTCTCGAGTGGATACCTTCCTTTACGTCACGACTTTTCTCTTGTTCCAGGAAGCGGAAGTAGCGCGCTGGTACCCTGCATCATACCACTGGTCACGTGTTTATTGATCCTTCGATAAGAGGAAGAAGAGACACACGCGTCCTTCCTGCTCATCCATTTTCCAGGCCTCCGAATGGTGTCATGCGGAGACCATTGTGTACTAAATTATCCGTGTTGTTTCTATTTTTTATAATCGCAGTTAGCGGAGTTAGCGAGGACATAGGCGAAAGAATATATTAAACAAAGATGTACGTCAGTATGTTTAGAGAGTTAGAGGATAGCAGGTGAACTCGTATTTATTGGATTAGTCCATTAATCTGTGCATAGATTTCATTTCTTTTCTCCTCCCCCCTCCCTACCTTATGAAAACTGCCGATCTTAATTATTAAATTTACCTACATCTGTGAACAGATTTATGAACTGATCCAATAGAAAACGATCGATCATGATTATATTCAAAGTTTTTTATTCAAAGTTTTAACAAAACAAACAACCGTACTTTATATAAAATCTGTGTTGAAAAAGTATCCACAGGTACGCCAACCTCGGTGTTAGAAAAACTCCTTTTCTTTCTCTCATTCGTCTTAAGAAAATTTCCAGTACGTGTGAAGAAAAATATTAATCACTCGAATGCATGTCCAAGGATGAAAGCAAGTGCGTGTCGAGCACATTTATATCTAACTGTACACGAGTGTTTCTATCGTCCAATCGTGGGAGAATAAGATTCAACCCCGGTGAGAGTATGTTCTCTTTCGTCGTAGCTTTTATCAAATCTAGTCGCTATTAATCAATCGCAAAGATATGTTATCGTAGAGTTAAATGCGAGCGTGAGTGTAGAGCGTGTTTCACCAAAGAACATTTGAACATTTCGCGCCAGTAACATTCCTAATCGTTAATTACAAGCGGAACACCATTGGAGAGTGTGTAAATGTATCCATCATAATGTACTTGCCACTCTTTACCCATGGTATTAATGTAAGAGCACTCTGTACATATGTACATAAATCAAACCAACTTTTATCTTTAACTTAACGTTCTGATAATAAAGCGGCGTTCAATGTCGACGGTCGGCAAAACAAATGCGTAGTATATTCTCCTGTAGAGATTTACTGTTTCATAGTGAGGCAATATAGAGGCGAGTTTCCATTCCAAGTATCACCGTACTGTATTGTAAATTGAAAACATCACAAAGTAGTAGTATTGAAGAGACATCTATCAGCGAAAAACTTGTGCCGCTTCCTCTTCGACTGGCAAGACTTGGGAGGTGATCTGAAAAAGAAATTTGAGATTTTCTGCTCTCCAGGATTCCCACCGTCCTCCACCTCTTCCCATTCCACCGACAGGGCTTTCTCTTCCAGGATTTTCTCAGCGGTAGACCAACTGAATCTGACAAGTTGTGGAAAGCCAAACACAGGGTCTACGTTTTGTATCAGCCAATTCTTTGTGTCCGGATCATTCGGATACCCGCTTCCATACTCCTTCGCAATGGATCCTTCCAGAAATTGCCATGCTCGTATCGCATGATCACGAGAAACCTTGGCGCAGATACTAGCTGCGCTGACAATTGGATACGTGGAATCAGCTTTCTTTGCTACAGTTATTTTAATGCCAGGAAAGATCTGTTCCAGCTTAGCCTGGTACTTCTCAGGCCTGCCTACTGTATCTACATACACCTCTGAGATCCATGCGCCAGCCTCTATTATCTTTTTGGTTAATTCAATGGCGGAAGTCATAGACACCTCGTTCAAAGACGTTTTACTGCGACGATACATGCTGTTTGCAATAAAATTAGGGGATATAGCTTCTACAGCCCAACCCATTTTGTCACGCTTTTCACAAATTTTATCAAAAATTACATCCCTCTTCTCCTCTGTCAAACTTTTTGAATCCGCACAGCCCAAGTCTACGAGAAGCTGTTTCATTGACAGAGGCGCATAGGAAATTCCATAAAGCATAGGACCCAGGACTGGTCCACGGCCAGCCTCATCAATGCCAAGCTGACATGGCTCATCTTTGCAGATTTGTGGTATCTGCAAATAATTTCAAACTGTTACATGCACGCAACATGTGTATTTATTTATTTACTTCGCTTACCTTTGATAAGTAAACTTTATTTATACTGTGATCCCAATCTTCAAAATACGAGGTTAAGTCTCCTCTACAAGTAATGAAAACATCCTCCTCCGGACTGGAACAATTTTCCTCTGATTTTGTTTCTTTCTCGTTATCCATGATCGCGCGTTTGTGCTCGAAACCTAACCTTCAATGAAACGTCAACGTTCAGAGAAACCGCCAAAAATTCAAGTGCTAGTATCGATATATCGTATCGAAACGATAGCTACACTTTCTTACTCCGAATAAATGTTGCTTTTTAAATTGCAAATAAATGAATGATATAACAAGAAAATTCGCAATGATTGAAAATGATTTGAAAATATAGGTTAAAAAATTCGTTTGGTTATTATAATGAGAAAAGAAAATCTCAATGGCGGCGTGTGTATCGATAAACTAGTATCGACCTCTATATTGTTTCTGACTACCTGTGTGCATGTGTACGCGTGTCCTCGGTAGAAATAGTTGATGACGCCGTGTTAGTAATATCGTGTGTCGCAAAATATAACCTCACAATAAAATGCTCCAATCCTTATCTGTATCGTTCAAGATTTCGTTCTTGCGAAAAATTTGATTCCACCGGATCGTGTCAATTTACAGACGCTCCCTCGAATACATTGCAACATGAAAGTTATCGTGAAGAAGCTTCAAGGAAAAGAATGCGTTGTTGACGTGAGTACGAGGCATCTTGACTGTTCCTTATTTTTTTTTTTCTATTTACAAGATAATCGTCGTACGATGAGTTTATTTTACGAATGTGCCATCGATGACGTATCTCGAACTTTCACTTCGATATGATATCCATAGTTCGTCAAGTGAAAGGAATTTCGCAACACCAAATTGTTATTAAATCATTCACTATTTTAATAGATTATGCCCTCGGACACAGTGCTGCAATTAAAGCACAAAGTCAGTGATCTATTGGGCATAGATGTTCCACAACAAAGACTGTTGCTTACAGGCAAAACGTTAGCTGGTAAATTTTTTAATACCTCAAGAAAATTGTACGAATTTTAATAGGTTATGGTTAACACAATATTACTGTAATATTTCAGATGAAAATCCATTGAGTTTCTATCCGGGGATTAAGGACGGAAGCAAGTTAAATCTCTTGGTAATTAAGAAAGCCGATGAAGGATCTGGCGAAGGAAAGGCTTCGCATAGCAAGTCTGGCACAAATTTATTAAGAGATGAAGTATCTAGAGTTTTGAGGCATTATTACACAGAGTCTGAGACAGAATCAATAGTCAATGAGTTGATAAAAGACCTGAAAAATAAAGTGAATAACCTTAGTTACGATGATTTAGAACGATTAGCAACAGCACTGCTCCAGGACCAAGAGAATATAGCTTAAGAGTACCTTCGTTCTTTTCCAATTTCTCTGCTTATTGCTCGATTATTGTAATACACTTTTATTTAATTAAAACGTTGCCTCATTGTACCCTATTACCAGTAGTATATTTGAAAATAATTGGGAAGGCGTGCAAGAACAAGACAGATGTATCAAAAGATTAATTTTATTGAAACATCCAAGTATAATTGTAATTGCACTTTAATAAATGGAGTATCAAGGATCGGCCAAGTCGAGCTGTCGAAAATATCTTGCGACTAGGCATATAAATAAATTCAGCGCCCCTATTTCATGTACCTCCAATTGTTTCTGAAAAAGAAAATCAGGAGGATTAACATTTAGCTAAATAATTTGTTACAAAAGGCGAAAGTAAATCATTTTTATATGTCATTTTAATACAAAATATTTCTTTTAGATTATTTCTTTCTGATTTATGTGAACGGTAAATTTAATACACAATTATAAAATAAAATTGATTTGTTAAGAAAACAGAAACAATAAACTTCAGCTCTTCTCTCTTTTTTTTAAAAATGTATAATAATTCTTTTAGATATGAATTACCGATTCTGCACGCATAACCGAGCATGTTCTAGCTAACGAACGCAAACAAGAACAAACGTCCGGAGTTAATGGCATTTCTAATATGACTAACAGCGCGTATATCCATTGACCCAATTGGTATTCTATATTTTTCTGGGTCGCAAGGTGTTCCACCAAATATTCCAATATTCTCTCTACGATCGGTTGATTCAAGCAAAAAATCACGCTTAACGTTGGAGCAGTCTTTATCTTCTCTTTGTAACAACCTGAACAGAATTTGATCCAACCTTTTTCATCGCCTATATCTGGCTGTAACAGGAGGTAATTAATAACCAAGGAAAAATCTTTAGTACTTATAAAGCAATGTACCGAGTTACATACCAAATTGATATTTGGTCGTTTCCATTTATGCTTAAACGTCTGAACATCATTTTTCAACTGGCTTATGTATAGTCTTGCATTGGAAAATTCTGACACTTGATACAACTGCCAATCAATGGTAGGACCAAGCCACGGTGGTGCTTCCACGCATCCTGATAACTTGTAACGTTGCGTTAACATAATTATTCTATTCTATCTATTCGCTTGGAAACACAGAATTCCTATTCCTGAATAAAATTTTAATACACCACTTGCAAACTTACGGGTTCGACATCAATCGTAGGTTTTCTAAGCTGTTTATGATCAATGTCGGCCACCACAACGTCAGCACATTGTTGTGCTTCTATCCTACAATGATTTATTAAAGAAATTATTTACTATTCCTGTAGCTGAAACTGTCATGAAACGTTTACTTACACCACCCTTTTAATGTATTCCTCACCGGACACTGGTGGTAAATTGAAATTTATATCTTCGTTTATTTCTCCAACTATAAAAGCGGGTTCTACAAAATATTCTGTCATTTTTACTTGTTATTTAACAAATATTTTCAATGATTTTGGTTCTTTCGTCAACTAAATGAATAGGTTATGTTTTACGTTCAAAGTATATCCAGTGACTACAGATCTAATAAGATTGAATGCCTTTGTTCTTGTGGAATCATGATTTTGGGGTCCCACATACCCCGGGTACATTTTGCGGGCTCCCATACTGGCGCGTGTGTTTTGGGGTTCCTGGCACCCCACGGTACCAGCCAGAAATTGTCGACACCCCGCGTTACATCCTTGGGGTTCCAGAAACCCCGCGTGACATTTTTTGGGGCCTCAGATACCCCACATTATCCTTGGGGCTCCAGGCACCCAATCACATTTTTGGGGTTCCGTATACCCCAGGCAGCGCCGTGGGGCTTCCAGGCACACAAACACATTTTGGGTTCCGCATACCCCAGGCAGCGCCGCGGGGCTTTCAGGCACCCATACATATTTCGGGGTTCTGCATACCCCAGGCAGCGCCGTGGGACTTTCAGGCACCCAATCACATTTCGGGGTCCTGCATACCCCAAAGCGCATATTGGGGTCCCAGAAACCCCCAGACACATTTAGATCTGCATGTATGTACACAATACAGTCGGTATGACAATTTTACTTATTTTATCAGTTTCTCCTTTACCGCACCCTGCACAGACTATTGAAAAGACACAATTTTGATTCCCTCTGACTCTGTTTTTTAGAAATTAATTAAAACTAGTACTAGACCGAATCATTATTAAAATATTGTAAGACAAACTTGTATTCACATCATGCGCCTTGGTAAATAAATCATTTTAAAAAAGCAACTAAATTATTATTTAATTTACCCAATTTCCTTTTTGAATTATTTATTTAATTTGCACAATTTTCATTCCGAGTTATTTATTAAATGCATGTTATTTCTTTCCTCAGTTATTTATTAAATGCATGTAATTTCACTCCTTATTTATTTACATAATTGACTGAAATTCTTTTTTCATTTTATTTATTAAATGTACTTAACTTCCTTTCTCAGTTATTGATTGTATATATAACACATTCAATTACGGTGTAATCTTTAATAAATTAAAAACATAATATACATGAAAATCACACAAATCAAAACAGAAAAAAGGGAACCAAATGTGTACAAAATCGAACGGTCTCTAGCGGCAAAAATGTGAACTAAATTTTCGATGTCGAATCAGCGCCACCTGGTTTCGGTAAAAGGAACTAAACCTTGCACCAATTTTGGCCCTCTAGCGGCAAAACTGTGAACTAAATTTTCGATGTCGAATCAGCGCCACCTGGTTTCGGTAAAAGGAACTAAACCTTGCACCAATTTTGGCCCTCTAGCGGCAAAACTGTGAACTAAATTTTCGATGTCGAATCAGCGCCATCTGGTTTCGGAAAAAGGAACTAAACCTTGCACCAATTTTGGCCCTCTAGTGGCAAAAATGTCAACTAAATTTCGAACATCGAATCAGCGCTCTCTGGCGATAAAAATGGAAATTGAGTTTGGCACGATTTTGTGCTGTCTGCTGTAGGGATATAGGAGATGCAGCGATGTAAAGGATACAGGTATGTAAAGGATGCAGGGATGTAATGGATGCAGAGGTATAAAATAGTCTATAAAAGAATAGTAAGGCGGGGCACACTGGAGAGATAAAATTATCAAAATCATCCTCCTTATAAGTTTATTCAATAAGGTAGATAGATAAATACAGCAAATTAAATGAACGCAGAAAATAAAATAAGGGTATCTGTATGTTTAACAGGTAGATCCGCACCCGTCGGCAGTCGCTGTAAGAGTGACTAGGTTTCACCTCGCTGTGTTGGATCTGCAGTCGGTATTGTGTATTTTGTGCCCCCTGGTGTCAACGAGAAGAACTACAGATCCAGGATTATATTGCACCCTCTATCGTCTATGAAGAAGTTCTTTTTTGACACGACGCAATAAATGGCACTACATATCAATGGCGGTTTTTTTGAAATATAAAATTTTCTATGTATTTGCGACTTACTTTCTAATGTAGATTGCCTTATCAGCAATCGAACACCCTGTATATACGATAATAAAACCGTTACAAAAATATTGAATGCACAGAGTTTTTATTATAAACTAAATTGATACCTAAATAATAATGGCAATAACTTAAAATAAGGTGAAGAAAGGTATTTGTGCGTTGCAATCCACCGTCTCTCGTATAGACGTATTATTTGCAAATAGTTCAGAGAAAATATATTTGTCTGAGAAGTTGGTTGGCGAGTTAAAGTGGAAACTTGAGAGCAGAAAGGACAGAAGGACTTGCTCGTTACACAACTTTTAATTACAATTGGTTCGATTTACTTTTTATCGAAGTTTCAATTCCAACTTCGTTAGGCAGCATCCATGGAGCTGACACTCGTAATGTCCACTTATTTTCCTGCTTGTAGCCTTTTCACAACTCTGAGAACCTCGACTGATGGCCTTAATTAATGATGGAAGTGCTCGGGTATTTAATTAAAAATACTATATTTAAGTCAGAAGCTTCGGGGAACATGTTACTACCCACAGTATAATGATCACAGCAAGTATCTGAAATAGGGACGGACTGTCTATCGGAGATTTAGGGCCTAATTACTTAAATCTAATAAAAATTCAAGATCTGAAGGGAAATCAATTAGCTGTATGTTAATGACCTCCTCTAAAACGTTCGATGCTGAATTACAATGAGCAACTTGCATTGCACCGTTCGTGTGCTATAACGTTTATCGTGTCTCCTCGTTAATGAGAATTATGTCAAGTAATCGTATCGATTAAAGCTTAGCCCAGATACAAGACGTTGGAGCGTCATTCCATTGATTTGCTATCATGTGTGGTGTAGAATCATGTGCACAATTCGCTGATAACGGTTTAGGCCGTATTTCCAGCTTTCTAGAGTGTAATATATAGTACATCCAGTTCTAGATAAGGAATACAGCGAACTCGCCCTATATTGCCACTCTTTATATTGCCAGGTGAATGAAGAGTGAGACTGACATACTTTAACAGTCAAACGCAGCAAGGGAGGGGAGGAGCTCTCTCTATAACGCGGGCCCATAATTGGCAATATAGCGAGAGTTTATTAAAAATCATTTTTCCATAATTAATTACAGTTGTAGATTAGGGAAGGAAGAAGGAACAAGGCACAACCATGCTCTTAATTAAAATACGTCAGTTACTATCTTTATTCAATAAATATAATATTACATTGTAACATAAGGAATACCGTGGTGTGTAATTGTCCTCGTCTGCTTGACTGGTCGCAAACAGTTTTGCAAACAGTCCTAGCAAATATAATCTCTATATACGCGTACCACACACGTACACGTGTATACATATACCATCTTTAATATAGATCTTTCTTCTCTAGAGACAGCACAAACACGTAATATGTTACAATATCGTTACAAGGACAGTCACGGATCTCCGGCGATCATTTTCTCTATTTTTTTTTCCCATTGGTACCCTCGCGAATCTCATGGTGGTTTCATGGTGAAGAACCATTTTGTTCAAAGCCAGCATGTACCCCCCTTGCTTTAGGTCACTCGAAGGAACAGTACGCCATTTTATCAATTTAAAATCTACTAAACAACTCTAAAATATTGTTCTTGTATAACAAGAAAATAAAACCAATAGGTAATAGAAAGTATTCTTTCTAAGATAAATACGTATATATCTACCAATTGTGCAACAATTATTTCCTTTTATTAATTAAAACTTAACGAATAGAGTTCTATGGTCATTTGGTCAGAGAGTTAAAAGCAGGTGCGAAGGTGAACGAAAATTAAGATAAAACTTATTGTCTGTTCCCTTTAGCGACAGAGGACACGTGTCATCACCAGAGAAACGCGAGGACCAGCAGCTGCCAGCCTCTAAAAACGCGACACACTTTTATTTTCTCGCTAAATTAGTCTAATATTTACACGAGTCTGTCGTACAGCAAAACGCCTGTTCGCAATGTTCAGCCGGATACGCTTAGCAAAAGTAAAAAATAGGTACTTTCCAGCCGGTCAGGGCCGGCCACGAAACTAAATCGTGTCCCCGCTAGAATTGGAAGAGCGTTGGAAGCACGCTCGTATACAGAGGTCCAAAAAACTTCCATGGTGGTAATGATCCCCTTCATTTTATAAATATGCTTCGCCATTGACGCATTCGCCATGCGCGGCGATAGCAGCGCCACGTGGCTGGCGGAAATTCAGGGTACCACCATCGCGGAATTTTCCAGACCTGTGCATAAAACCGTGGTTGGAAGTCACCAGAGTGTCCTGGCGATGATTTTCTTTCTCTACTTCGGCTGCCCGAGGAGGAAGAGAGAGTCCCTCGTAAAACGTTTCACATATGAAAATAGGTGTATACGATTTACATTATTTACTTTGCTATCACAATATACGGTCTAAGGTAAAGTGGTTTGATATGTACAATATTATATAATATTTATAGTATCTACATGGTGCCGTTTTCGGTCTGACCACTTGAAATAATTTAGTGAATCAAGAGTTTTCGTCAGAAAGATTGGATATCATAGAATTAATTTATTATTGTCCTATACTGAGTGATCTGAAGTGTTGGAGAGGATAAGGAATAGAAGTACTTTGATTAGAAGTATAGGTTATAAGTACAGCTCTGATTAGGGGCCAACAGGAGTAATGTGCAGGAGAGACAAGCATAGGTCTACCCTTGCCAAGAGTTTCCTAGTTTCGCCGCGAGAGGCCCCCACCGTCGATTCAGATTTGGCCCCTTACTGCTGTTCACCCGTAGGAATGGCTTAAGAATCTATGGAATATAAACTAAACAATAGACCCCATAACAATGGGGGAATCAAGTAGTCAGGCTGAATGGAGCATCCTGTTCGTCGTTCGCTTTTCTCGTGCATCTCGCTCGAGTTGAATCCCTACATTTACATCGATCAGGAGCCTGTGTAATGCACTTTGAACGTTTGATTGTGTTGTCAGTCTATATTGGCGCACTTTCGAGACCCACTATCCACGAACTGAAGACCCAAACTGAATCCCCACAATAGAGAATGTGAACAAAGAGCCTTAAAAGTGGCCAGAGCGAACCAAGTATTAATATGTTGTTACTATAGTTGCTAAAGTCGATGAGAATGATCCGAGAGGCACGAGGAAGCTTGCAAGTTTACGCGTGAGCTAGAGGACAGCAGGTCTGCACGATTTCATTTCTCTCCCTTCGACTCTCTCCTCCTAGCTCGTCGTCCTAGTCTTCGTCTAGGGAAACTGAACTGAAGAAACGGAATAGAGTACGATAGCCTGGTTGTGTATGTACACTGGGATGTGGACAGATTGGAACGTTATCGTCCCGTTGGATCGCCAATCAACCTCGCCACGGCGACGCGTCAAATATTTACACTTGAGAGGCTTCATCCCCGATGGGGGGAAGGGTCGACGTTAAAACACAGGGTAAAAAAGAACATGGAATTCGCAAGTATCCTACGTAAACGGTCTAAAGTTTCAACGAATTGCACGAAGTTTCGAAGAGGTAGCATCTGCCAGGGTTAAGCAGATCGGCAGTGTCCTGTCCAGAAGGTAGACGAACGCTTTTGGACCATAGGCGTCAGCATCGCGAAGACTAAAAACGATTCCTGGCTCCCGGTGGCGAGCTTCACCCCGAGAAGCAGGCTTACGATCATTGGACAAAGTTCACGTTGAACGTTTCGACCTCCATCGGCTGGAGGCTGACATCCTGAAGACCGTTCCTCAACCGATGCATCGTCTTCGTACCTGTCAGCGAGGTTTTGGTGATGTTTAGGTTCGCGAGCTTGAAGAACGACGTGCCTTGAGGGATCTTCTCCGTCAGCGGGCAGTGTTTAAGGGTAATGTCCACCCCCACGGAACAGCTGTAGCCCTGTCTGTGAAGCACCATCAGCGCGTTGTTCACCGGGAAATGTGGCAGTTTCTGATCGTGATTGGTCCTCAGATTGAGCAGGTGAACGTCGCAAGGGAAGCTCTGACTTAGTAGCCTAACCTCCGGCACCATAGCGATGTCGCCATCTGTCCCGTCCACCACGAAGATATTCACGGGGTAGTTAAGCGCGTTGCTTAGGTGATTGGCGAACAGGGATGGCTTCGAGTACTTGTCCTTCTCCCCTGTGATATCCTCTAACAGTAGCCAGTGCTTGATGACGGTTCTTCGATTGTCCAGTAGACCCTCTCCCATTCCTCGCGAATCGTCGTATAAGGTTCTTCGATCCAGCATCACTTCCAGCCAGCCTGGTTGATAACTGGCAGCTCCTTGACAATGATTCACCAGCAGAGTGAGCCTGTGATTGGTGTCCTCGATGTAGGCCATCGTGGTTATGGGAAAGTAGTTACCCTCGATCCCGATCCTCTCTATCTTCGTTCTCTTGATCATCTGGTGTCCGTTTAGGTCTGTGTAGAACTCCGGTGGATCTCCATTCAGAATGTCAGTCTGTAGACGCATGAACATCTCTGTCTCGCGGTTCTTTGGTGGTGTTTCGAAGTCCACTATGTTCCTCACATAGATAGCCTCGCCCAGACCACCGTCTCTATGATAAATGGCCACGTGGTGTGTTAGTAGCTTACCGTATTCGACGGTCAACCGTGAACTGAGGCTACCACTGACGATGTAGATCTTCTGGTGGGGCGTGTACGCCTCGAGGACGTCTTTATCGGTGTCTCGGAGGTTTGGGTCGGGCATGAACAAATATGCACCGCTGTGAAACTGCGCGGACGGATAGGCTGCGAACTGAATGGTGCACTGCATGATCTTACCGGTTGCCTTTTTCGTCACCCTCTTCAGAAACCCGGTCTGCCCATCGAACAGAAGCTTCATTCGTTGGTTCTCCAATTGAACATCGCCCACCTGCAAGGGTTTCATGGGGAATACACTGTCCTTGCCGCATCTACTGCAGTAGACCGTTGAGATTGCCTCCATTGGTACCTTGTCGATCTGCTGGATGTGATAGGTCGCGATGGCTAAGGGTTTCAGCTCTACCATGAACAACAGAACGTACACGTCGTGTGTGATACTCGTAGCGTTCATCACTGGCGCGATTTGATAGGGAATGGGATTCTTCTGAGGGTCTAGTACTTTAATTTTATACGAGGTGACTTTTAGACTGATCACCTCCTGCCTGGGTTGAGCCAAAGGATTGAATAGGACAATCTTCTTCGTATCCTGCCCGTTGACTCCTATGGGAATCTTCTTTGGTAGCTTTTCGTAGCTGTCCCTGTCCGATTCGGCTAGGACATAAACGGAATTTGGTTTGGTGGTCGTCCCAGCCAAAGACTGAATAGCGAAGCTCTGCAGACTGGTGGTGTCCGAAATGGACTCGAACAGTTTCAGGGCGTAATCCTTCATGACGAATGATTTGGAAGTACCAGTGATGGCGTCGTGGTGTTGGAACAGGCCCAAATTCCGTCTTGCCTTCACCAACTTCTCAAAGTACGTCTCGTATAACATGAAGTCCTTACCGGACTGTTTGGCCACGTTCAACGCGATGGTATAAAGTATCTCGGCCGATCGAAGGTTCGCTTCGAGTTCGCGGTCCAGGATCTTCATGTACGGTCTTGTGGTGAAGTAGCCGCTCCAGTAGGCTGGTCTACCTTCGCTGAAGATATCCGAATAGACGAAAAAGTCGCCCTTCAGCGTTGGGAAGTCGTTCATCCGCTTCCTGATCTCGCGGAAATAGTCCTTGGGCGTCCCGAACACTATCTCTGCGTTGTACTCGTCCTTCCTACTGTTTATGTAGTCCATCAAGATCTTGTAGTTGGTGTACTGTTGGTCCCACTCGATCGCGTGATCGTACCTAAAGTAGAAGGGACAACAAGCGTGTTGAAATAGACCACTTTGGAAATATAACAAAGGGACAGCTAGTTAAGTAACTAACAAACATTGGGGAACTCGGGACAAAGATAAGGGACACTGGAAATCGAATTATTCTAACCTGAAGTCGTCTCCAAGAGGCATTAGGACGACGTTGTGCGTGAACAAAGATCCCGTCCTAGAGTATTGTTCCAGCAACACAA